GCACACTTACAGGGCAACAAGGCCAGACTTCTGGAAATGACTGCAGAATGCCCGGAACCTTCTGAGACCCTAAAACTGCACCCAAATCTCAATAGGGAAGTCGGCAAGCATCCAGGTTAGTCAATCACTCAATCAGTTCAGCAAAAGCTTGTGAGTGTTCAGGTACGCCACAGAAGCATAACCGACCAAGATAAGTATTCAGGCATCCCACAGAAGCACGATCGATGCTGATTGGTGTTCACAAAGCGCCAATCAGACAGCCTGGATCAGTGCCAAAAAGTACCCTTTAAATAGCGCAAGCCATTGTGACTTTCGCACCCGCTTGTTTGCAACCAAGCTGACGTGTTCTTTGTTGGCGAATCTTTTTCTGACAATAAGGCACCGGAGCGGGGACGGTAGTTAGATATAGCAGTGACCAAATTAGGCGCAACGAATGGTCGACCACTAAGCTAACGCGGAGACAGTTGGGAATGTTGACACTGTTGGTAGCTCGGGTGCATTTACAGGTCTTTCATCATCAGGTGGCAGTTGCTCTGCTTGCCGGGCTTGGCAGCTGGGTCCCAAGCGTTCGGGAAGACATCAACAGTGTACCCAACTACGCCTTTGAATGGTGACGAAAAGTTTGCAAGTCAATCAACACCCTTCCGATCAACTACAAACAGTTGGGAATGTACAGGTTGCATGCTGACAGAAAATATGCGCCGACAGCAGCGGGTCTTCGAAATAGGCTGTTGGTTTGCCGTCTATTCCAGGTTATGCGCAAACAATGTCAAGCAAAAGTAATCTTCCCAAAAGGAAGGATCTACATTGATTAGTTATCTTCTTCAGTCCAAACTGCACCGCTTCCACATCATCTTATTAGAGCATAAGTGGAACACAAATAAAATGTAGGTATCCATATTGGTATGCGTACGTTTTACACATTCTTTTCGTCATGCAGTTGTTCCAAATGGCAGGACGTGAAGTTCTGTTGAGCGATTGAATATGCCTTGAACTCAGAAAGTCTTCCATTAAAAATGAATAGCTTTCATATCATGTTCCTTGATCCCATAGCATAAGATGTTCTACTTAACCAATAAAAAAGAACTAGAACCAATAAGAAGGTCGGTAAAACCAGCCATATTAAACTAAGACTACTTTTATTAGTAGTCATAACTGTAAACCCCAATTTTACACCGCAATGTAAAAGTGGAACCAGGAAGATTGTATTCTTTTTCGAAAACGTTTGGTGATAATCGATAGATTTATTGCTGGGCCACGTTTCGCTTTTGACGCAAAAGTTTCGTCAGGCCAGGTGACTAGGTTTCGAGGTTGGAAGGGGAACCAATCAGCTAAGTCAAGCTAAATCTCTCTTGGGTGTCGGCCGGGGGATTTTCGTGTGTTAGGATGGGGGAACAAGTGCCGGGTCGATGGGGAAGCCTACATATGTTTGAGTCCTGTCTAGGATCTAGTTCTTCTGGTTCGGTTCATTCGATGTCGTTTGAACCTTCTGTCCATCTGTGTGGATGAGCTAGTGCTAAGATAGTTGTGTAAGAGGGATGCTATGATCTTTGGTCGGTTGGGGTTTCCACCCCTATCCCCAGGTTTTTTCTAATGATCCATACGCTCGCCAGTTCCACACCCTCGATTCTATTCACGCTGTGATGCTTAGTAATTTCCACCGCCTCGGCTAGCAGCCGGTGTGGTGTGAATCGCAATCTGCGTCTTAAAACTTCCACATTCTCCAGATCTATTCTATGTCCCGTGTTTAAGGCATGTACCGGCATCGCTGAGTCTTTGGCCAGCGTTTGGTATTCTTCTGCATTCCCTGGTGGTTTGTTTACTCTTCTTTTATGCTCACCGATTGTCACCGAACTTTTTCGAAAACGATGGCTACTCAATCGGTTCCACGTATTTTTCACTTGATTGAAGTTGAAATTCTCTTCCCGCTGAGACCACACTTCTATAGTTGATCGGTGAGGGCCTTTGCAAAAATTAACAGGTAGTAGAAGGCCTGTTCCCATTTCTTCGGTTCTTCTTTACGTAAATTTTGTTTGATCGGCTCATTCCCTCTGGTGGTAGATCTCCCCTTCTTCAGAATGTANATGATACGATCTGCAAAGCCAGAAAAAGTAAGTTTTCATTTTGAGATCAATCCGCTCTTTGTAGAGCTTAGTGTTTTACGGGGAATGCCAACTAGCAGTTAGCAATTGCCATCGAGCACATTTTGATGGCTGGATCATCAACATTATCGTTGGATTATCCCTTTAAAGAGAAAATCATCTTTGGGTAATCGAAACAAATTGCCTTTATGCATATTCTTCGTATCATATACCACGGCAGGCCTTCCATTTTTCCCTCCTACTACCATATCGATGTTTGCTTGGATGCTCATGCCCTCTTATTTTCCGTGTTTTACATTCCACGACTCAACGATACAAATTTTCATCAGACATACTTCTTATAAGATTGATGAAAACTCTTCGAAAGCTCACTATCGGTTTCTTGAGGTTCACCAGGTTAGCGCAATCCCCGAGTTCCCGTCAAACCTATGTTCTACACGAAAATCGGACTGTGTTTAACTGGCGAAATCCACTAGCTTGGACACTAAGCTAGTGTGTTTTTCCTAGGAACTATAGTGCGATATCTCAAAGATCGGACATGAGACGTCCTTTGTTCAGTATTATCAGTTAAAACCAATTCAGTTTACAAATGAGTATAGTTCACCGACTATGCGAACCTATTCCATTTACACCTAGTGTCCCGCCTGGTGAGTGCGGCACCCTGTAGCGTGCCAGGTGAGGCACCGCAACTGTCGCGGTAATGTCAACAGCTGAACAGAGGGAAAATCGACAAACGGATTGTTGCAACCATTTTAATGGAGCTTAGTTACTAAAGTCCCTTTGGAAGCTCACGTATGACACGTCGGGCAGTTTTCAGGTCTTACGAAGCGTGGGAATGTCAAAGGATGTCACGTGTACACATGCCTATGGTGGATCAAGGAGCCAATCAGGTTCAAAGTGGCTTTTGTATAGGTCATACCACACTGAATACGACAGCAGGTAAACGGTAGAGACAGAGTGGTTGACATTGTGTGGCCCAGAAACTTGGAAATCATGCTGACTAGCTTTAATTTCGGCTTTGTTTGAAAGCCCCTTCAAACAGACAAATCATTGTCGAACGATGGCTAGTCTCCTCCGAACCGACTGTCTGACGATATTGACTCACGCATTCATGCAGAAGAGGCGAATGGAACACCCTCTTGTTTTAGCAATACGCGAAACGGAAACGGAAACTCATATGACTGCCAAACACCATCGATAATGTTGCAACATTCAGTAGCTATTTTCCTTTGTTCCAGGTCCCTAGACGAAGCGCTTCCCCACCAATACAAATAATTACACTCAATGGCACTTGTTTTTATCACAAACTGCATCAAACTTCCTCTTTCATAACCGTCCAAACCACGCTCGTTTATGTTGGATAACCAAGATAAATTCACCAGCTTCACCCATTTTGTTCCAGTTCACGGCTTCTACCCGACTTCGCCTAGAGTCATGAGAACTCTTGATCACCACTGTAATTACGAATTCTCATTTGCCATCTGTGATTGATTTATGTTTATTGTAAACCTGAGGAAATATCGTGTTCCCCAACCTGCACGTACTGTCAGGAAGCTTCGCAAAGTGAATGCTTTTGATTTTTAAAAAGGTCTCGAAATCGACCCATTATGTATCAGGGAATACTGTTCTGGGTTACGAAGAGTTTTCCCATAAAAGACTCTCCCTTGCAGCTTTTTTCTGACAGAATAGTAGTACCAAGTACTGTCCTGCAACCAGTTATCAAGATTTACCGTCCCAGCGCTCCCACGCTTGAAGACGGACTGGTCGCAGAATAATCTAACATAAGCATCCTCACCTGACAGCTCCTTCTTAAACAGCCCCTCTTCACCCCAAGAAACGGCTAAAATCGGTCTCGCCAGCCCAGATAGTTTTTCGTCCTTCAACTGCGCCATGTAGTAGGTAAGGCATATGAATTTAATGCTTTTGTCAGTTTTCCTTGAGTTCGATGGCAGTGAGACCGGACGAGACTCCTTAATGATGAGATTATGATAGTTTAAGCATTCGGGCCGGGGCTGACTTCCTTCCTTCCTTCCAGGATTTTGTTCTTACACGTAGGCACAAACATTATTGTATCCGGCGTATGGAGGCTTGATTTTACAGTGTGACTTCTGATTTTAAAAATGCTTCAGATCATTTTATTCGCTCTGGTTCTTTATTGGCCGGTGCCTTAGAGCTCATGCGTGAAATGGTCAAAGTTCCTAGCTTGGAAGTACATCTTCTTGAGAGTTAGTAGAACATCGTACTAAATGTCTTCAAATTTAGCTTTTTGAAATATATTTAACTACTCAATCAAATGTTGTCCTGCATTTTCCGTGTGCCTAACTATTCCACAAACGCTGAACAAGAAGCTCCAAGATGAAACAAAAAAGACGGTGAACACTGGTCTCAAAGAGGTTAAGGCCACTGATAAAAGTACATGCATTCCCTCATTGTCCATAAAAACTCAGCCAAGGTTAACTACCTACCCCTTGCAAAAAGGACAGGATCTTTACTGAGAGCTTACTGAACAGCCAGCTTTTTGAGTCCCGTTAATGACCAGTGTCTGTAGTTGAGCCAGTCCAAACTAAAGTTGGGATGCCAACTTCACTGTTGGAGCTTATCCTCAGCGCATACCCTTGACTGTACTGGGTAGCCGACATGCGAAGCCAGCGTACGCTGAAAGCGCATGAAATGTCACGTTTGAACGCACGAACGTGTACACGATTGGTCGATGTGGTTGGTTTAGCATCCGTGAAACTCCCGAATTTCATTTTTAGGCCATTAAATGCTGTGTGATTCTTTCCTAAACTGTTTCTCACTCCGTTCTTTAGCGCCCATAAAAGCATCACTTTAAAGACTGTCTGTCTGTAGCTCCGCTCACTGTTTATCTGATCTAGTGCATTCCCTATACGTAACCTGCTATGGGGATAGTCCTAATGAGGCAAGTTTCAGGCACGCGGCTAGCCAGGACAGCACAGCGATCCGGTGCGAAACGTCCATTATTTCCCCTACAGCCCGCACGTACTCCAGCTGTCTAACTCGGGGTCGCAGGGTTGACGCGACAGGCATATGGTGTTGATGTGGTCTCACTGATTTTTCTTCTCTCCACGGCGGCTGACGCATCCGTGTTTCCGTTTTACGATCCGCACTTGAAGCCTTCTTTGTTTCCGGCATAGTATAGACAAGCCCTTGAATTAAGCCTTCCAGCATCCGCTGCCCTGGTCCGTGCATAAGCGGAGCCTACTTTGACACAACCACAGTGTAGACGCACGAGACAGGGGTGGTGGGTAGTAATGCCGTCTGTCGCACAATCGCCACCGCGAGCCGTCCTCTCAGCTGTGCCATGGTTACCATGGGAAAAAAAACACTGGAGCGGCTTCAAACGCGCTCGGAAAATGGCATAGGTGTACTGTGCTGAGACTTCAGGGATAAGCCCCACATAACGATGGCCTGTTTGGCTCATTTAGGCATCACATTTTGCGGTTAACGCAACCTATCGATTGATGGGAAAATACATGGAGGATTGATTCAGTTCACGTCCTCCCGTCGACCGACAATTTCGTTGCCCAGGTGGTTTCTACACTAACTAACTAACGTCCAACTGTATCTAAACAAGAGCAGCTTATCGCTATGTGATTTCATATTGTTAGATAGAATTTCGTGTGCATATACCTCACAATTGGGCAATGTTATCAGTTTACAGCTGAGGTAAATGAAGCCCCGTTTAGTCTCAGCTGGGGCACGTGATGCTTACCCCACCCCTTTCAATTTGAGGATAACTCTTTTGGACGGAGTTGCTTTTGGTCGGTTTTGATTTCTTAAATCGAAATCAAGTAGGGCAAGCATTCTTTTCTTCATCGTTCTATGCAGTGTTGTTCTCGTCCAACTTACCCAACCATGTGGACCACCACATGTTTGGGAGCCGCAGTTACTAATGTCGGCTTCGTCTTTCTGTATGATTCTTACCTAATCTTCCCATGTGACTGTTTTGATTGCGCGTTTCTGGGCGAAAGGATTTGATGTAATTGGGATTCGAACCTGGACGAATCCGCTATGCCCACTACATGATCAAGTTCGTTCCACTCAGCATACGATATTCTGTCCATCGTTACCTCGCCCCTGACTGTAGCACATCGTGCACACACTGAAGCGTGAGATTGCGAGACATAACACATACTTGCCGAGCGATTTTTCTTTGAACCCGTTCCGTCCGGTTGGTATGTTCACCTTCATCAGTGACCACAAGCATGTTTCTCCCTTAATAGTCTGACAGCTCTTGTGACCCTGTATTCTCTTCTGTTTTTCGTGCAAACTCTTCTGATGTTACGAAATTCGGATTAAGGGTACAGGCATATCACTGCGTCCCCGTACGAACACTGCATTGACTTCACCGTTACTTATAAGACCGATGAGGACGCCGGGCAGCAGTAATGAAACATGCTTCGATATCTTGAATACCTTTCAAATGAAACACAAAACGGCTCATGTGTAGCACATTAAACTGCAGAGGGACGTAAACGAAGGATTCAGGTGAAAATCAGCTTGATCTCTTCACACCAGGTTAATTCGGGGATTAAAATCTATCCACTAAGGCCCTTTACAGCCTCTCAAACACTGCAGTTTGCCGCGAATGTGTCTTGTAATGCCACAGTCCTGTTTGCTGTATCGATCCTGCTACGCAAATCTCCCACACTCCACCCCAATTGCCCAATCCACTCAGTTCAGATGTCTCTACAGAGCTTCCTGTAACTTCGAATCTATGTGAGATCGAAAGGCAGCTCTTTAGAATCTGTCATACTTCCTCATATTATATGGTCACCACGCACATAAGATAAGGGCGTTATCCATCTGTATGCTGTTCACTGGGTTATACCGATCAAACTCTTGGAACACTCACTCATCAATGGATGTCCCAAAGTCAATGGCTTGTGGATGCATGTGAGGGCGCTGCCTTCTTATCCACGCGGACTGATAGTGATTCCATTCCATTTCGTGCCTATCACTCACAGTCAGTCTATTCTGGCTTAAAGACTGTGTGGTGTTTAATGAGGGGACAATCACATCCGCGGTGACTTGTCCAGGAGTTCGCATGCACATTCCGAACAAGATGTTGGATCACACAACTGGACGATTTAACAACTCCGGGTGCGACAATGATGCCTCAAGGAGCCCTAAAAATCCTCTGCAATATTTTAAAGCATTAGTGCTCTTTGGTGTGGTTGAACCCGTGCTGATTTTGTTTAGCCTTCGCTCTTATTTCAGTCGCTTTTTGCCCACAAACTGATTAATCGTCCTTACTCCCTCTGGAACCTGACAGGTGGAAGTGCGGAATGGGATGTTCATTCAGAGTGTCTCCAGGTTCCTGAGCACTATTCATCCTCCCGTGTATGGTTTAACTGACTGGAAATACTGTATTTGTAGCTGGCTGGATGTGAACTTATTTCAGGAAAATTGATTGCCTCACAAACCGGTGGCTAGATGATTTGATTCACCACCGGTTTTTTTACCGGTGTTTAATCAACCAGAACAACGCGTTGTGAAACGAAGGGTGGTGGGTCAATGGGAAAACATGACGTTCGCGTTTCACATTCCTGATTAGTCATTTCTGTTTGTCCTTGAAAGAATGTCTCTGGACTTTAGAGTATGGACGTGTAGTGTGGTTTGGGCTAAGAACAGCAGAAACACCCTGTCGATAACTAACGTATGTCGGTCTTTCCACTGCCAATAATGTATGTGGGTATTTTCTGGTCGGTGTCCTTTTGAGAAAAAAAATTTCTTAAATTAGTATTTGTCCCTGGGCTCGAGATAGCTCAGTGGATAAAACGCACAAACTTGCTGACCGGAAAGTTAGCGGTTCGAACCCACAGCTCGGCATTTTGGAAGCTTCCGTTTAGGCTTGAACGGCTTGACGGTAGCTCAGCTCCCGTGCTTCCTTCTGGTGCCATGGCAGCAAGGCATCGAAAGGGTATTACAGCTGAATGACTGTTATTTGATTGGTCGTGCATAACTTGTTGAAGACGAACCGTCCATCTAACCATCATTTCAAGTTTACTACACGGTAAATTCGGATGGATAAGTTACCTCACGTTCTTTGCACCCTTAGATACTAATTAACGTCGTTTTTGTAGTTCACACAGGCACTTCACATAATCTAATTACATGGCGAGCAAAGTAGAACTACAAGGATGGGTTGCCTAAGTGAGACGAATGTTGTAAAATTTAGAATTAGTTGGCATTAGCATTTTGATGAATCGCATGCCACATGAATGGGAGTTGAAGCCTTCTTATTGATAAGAGCAAGCAGAGGGATGCAAAAATTGAGTGAGTGGTTTATTCTACTCTACCTAAATCTAATTTGCATCTAAGTGATTCCACACAAATGAACTTTTTTCGACAAATACACTCACTTGCAAATCGATTCGGTTTTCACGAGAGACTCAACTGAATCTCTCGTCAATGATATTCTTGGTGACTACGCCTAACTGATGAGTCTGAAGCGGAAGTGCAAACCGGTCGTGGGCTGATGAAGAGTTTTCAGTAAACTTATGAGTAGTTTCCTTCATGAAAATATACTGCGATATCTCGAATATCGTGCCTACTGAAACATGAGGCGGTCTGTGTGCAGCACATTCAGTTGTAGAATATCAAAAAGAAGAGATTCAGTTGAGTCTCTCATGAAAACCAAACTGATCTGCAAATGAATGTATTTCTCGAAAACAGTCCAATTTGGGTTCAAGTAGAGCATAAGGTTGATGGAAACTCGATGACTGCGCCTACCTGATGAGCCTGAAGCGGAAGGGTAAAAACAGTCGTGGGCTATCGAAGATTTTTCAGCAACCTTGTGAGTAGTTTCCTTCATGAGAACTTTTTTCATGTTGTTAGCCTGCACATAAAATTAACTTAAAGTGGGGGAGACTACAGCAACCTCGAAGAACTCGTTGTGCTCTCCTGAAAAACGCTTTGCGGTTCCCTGAGCGTCGCGGGCCTATATTTCACAATCACTGGTCTGGTATGACGATTCAAGCTGCTTAATATGGAAGGACCAAAAGGCGAGTAGTAAGAATCGCTGAGAATCACTCAGTCGACCATAGGCGAACCGCAACGAAAGGGAGGTTGTAAACCCAAATCGTTGCTAACACCACCCTTTCACTAATGAAAACGGAACGAACCAACATCAGTGACAGCCAAAAGCAGTTATACTTTATCAGAGGGTCTAAGTTTCAGATAGTCGAACAAAAAACAGCTTAAAAGTCGGCCGACTATTGTTTCAATAGGGTCGCCAAAATATACAGCTTAGTTAAAAAAATGATCAGTTGCGCAGAGCGGTAAACGTTAAGGCTCAACGGCTTTCAGAAGCTTGTCAAAGCCGGGTCGAAAGGCCGGCGTACCCAGATAAAGCAAGTAGGGTATATAGATTTAAATTTTTACGCTCATGCTTGATAGTTTTACTGATAAAACTCTATTTACGAATATGGAGCAACTACCAATAAAGACCAGGCTTTGCTCATTGGTTGATGCTTAAGAACTGACTCGCCTGCTTTTTCCAATTGATCGATTTCAACGAACAGCCAAACAGCTAACATTCGAATGCCACTATCTGGTTCATTGGAGCCCACAAAAACTCTGGACATGATTCGAGTATAAGTGTGAAGCCATTCAACAGTCAGCCTTTTCATGCCTGCAAGTCAAACTAGCTCAGATCGAACAGCGCTGGTACCAAAACAAGTGAAGTTTATTGTCGTTCATCAGTAGTGGTTTATGTGACTGCTTACGAGGTGCAGTCTAAGTTAAACTCATTTAGAACCAACCTACATTCAGGTGGACGCTGGTAGTTCACAGATAACTCACACATTTGTGAGTTGCTCAAACGAAACGGCATTATGGGGAACTTGGTAACCAACTCAGTGGCCAAAAACTGCCTTCCACGCACCATTGCATAGATCCCCACTATTGTGGCTTGAAATGCAAAAAGTTCTACACTGTCTCCGATACGAATTTGTCTGTTATTGGTTCTCGTTGATAGAACATATTCTTAGCCTTTGTGATGCTGTCACCTGACATTCAACCGAAGTAAGCTTATTCCCATTCAGTCTACTGGTAGAGGGTTGGATAAAGGGTACTTCCAAGTGCTACACGAAATTTGTCCCATATCTGAAGCAGTCACATTCTGAAAT